GTAAAATAATATATATATAAATGAAAACAAATGAAAGAGAGAGAGAGAGAGAGAGAGAGAGAGAGAGAGAGAGAGAGAGAGAGAGCGAGCTTGCGAATAAGTGAAACTTATCACGTCATTGCTAAGAAATATAATGTAGCTTTTAGTAGCGAAGCTGTTATATTTATAAAATTCACAGGGCGAGGTTGAAAACCAGCTCCTGAATGTGCAATTTCTCACCTAGCCTATACAAAGTTTCCAACTCAATAAAATGCGAGCGCATGCACGTCTGGCAAACGTGTCGCCCTCACATTGGGAGTTCTGCAGGGATTCGGATATGTGTGTATAGACGTAGGTTGGATGTCCAGATATCGGATATGTATCTGATTAAAATCCACATTTGGAAGTGGCTCAGATCGGATGCAAAAAAATCTGATCTCATGCGGATTTTTGTGTTTACATGTGCGCAACAAATTCTGATAAGATGTGAGCAAAAAAATCTGATTTTTTGTGCAAGTGTAAATGCAGCCTTAAACTGCTTGACAGGGGGTGCTTTTGAGCAATAAAATATGAAATTAAATTATACCCGTGATAATCTGCTTCCTGTCTGTCAGAATTAACTGTTCTTACTGGTGAATTTGACAGTAAGAACTGAATTGCAGATTGTAAAAAAAAAAAAAAAAGGAAATTGTTGTAATATTATACAACTGGATCTGGAAACTATGAAAGCACTTGCCAAATGCAGCAGCTGAAACAGGTTACACCCTTTATATGGGCCATTTTCAACTTTAAAAGAATTGAAACAAATGCTGGGTAACGTACAATTTCAGACACTGTGACCGTGTGCAGTTGCAGGGTTTTCTCGGCCTTGAAGTTGCTTCGGACGTTGATAAACTGTAATAAAACACAGGCAGAATGTAACCTGAGAATTCATTTGTATATATGTGACCTGTGCTGGCAAAATGAGTCACAATGAGCACATTTCCAAAAATGTTCACATTATAAGACTTTCAGAATGATGTATGATTTGTTGGAATCGGACGAAAAATGACTGAGCTACACCTGTTTGAAGTCGATAGAGTCAGCAAAGTCAATTTTGAGAAAAATCGAGTTAAAGTTTTCTGAAGGTTCCAAAGCAAAATCACAGAGCAACGTTGCATCTTTTCCTCCAGTTCTTCTCTTAATAATAATTACTATATTAATAATCACAATATAGCTATTTTTTATTTTATCTTTGTTATTATAAATAAGAAAAAAAAATTAAGTATTACACCTTTTTCATCTAAACAAAAGCATTCAAGAAAAACAAATAATCAAATGTAAAAACCCCCTTTACTGTTTATTACAAAAAAATTGATTATTAAAACTACAAAAGCAGTTCAATCAAGAGCAGCGAGTGATTCCCTCTTTTCTTTTATTGTTAGATTAACATTAATGAGGTGGCCTACAGTATATTAAGAGCTACTGTAATGCACGGATCTAATATAATGTTACACATCAGATGTTTTTCCTCAAACGTTTACTTAAGACATAACAGATTATGTTTGCGTGAATACTTAAATACTGTAATTCTGTGCACAGTCAGCGCGAGAAACGAGTGGAGAAAAGGTACTGCTCTCAGAAAACGTACAAATAAAGGTAATTAAACATCTAAAATGATTATTTGGAGCATTGGGATCGCTAGACGAGGGCTTAATACGTTTACTTAAGACATAACAGATTATGTTTGCGTGAATACTTAAATACTGTAATTCTGTGCACAGTCAGCGCGAGAAACAAGTGGAGAAAAGGTACTGCTCTCAGAAAACGTACAAATAAAGGTAATTAAACATCTAAAATGATTATTTGGAGCATTGGGATCGCTAGACGAGGGCTTAATGAACTCATTTTTGTGAAAACCTCAAAATTGACATTTTTCACTATTTTTGCCTGTAATTCAAAATTTGCCCGTGCACATTTCGTCTCATTTTGCCAGCACGGGTCACATATACATACACGTAACAGTGAGGCATGTGGCGCTCGGCTCACCCGTTGAGTGAAAGCCTGGCTTGAGTCTGTATGGGGGTGGCTGTTGAGAAGGTGGAGCTGCTGGTCAAAGTCACAAACGCAGACTGAGGGATCTATGGGAACAAGCAAAGCGGGACAATCCCTTCAAAAACTAGCCAAACTCATATGTCCTGCTCCATCGCTGACATACGGACCTGTGTAACGTACGGGGCCGGCAACACAGCATAGCTCATGTTCCCCGAGCCGTGGGCGGGGGCGAGGACAGTGCCTGGCGGCAGGCTGGTGAGGTTGGGCTGGATCTGTGGCAGATGTGTGGCTGGCATGATGAGACGCTGGGGCGTCTGACTCGTGGTCACCACCTGGGCTGCTGACGTCAAGGGTTTGGGTACAACCTGTGCACAAAAAGATCTTTCACTATTTTTGCTTGTAATTCAAAATTTGCCCGTGCGCATTTCGTCTCATTTTGCCAGCACGGGTCACATATACACACGTAACAGTGAGGCATGTGGCGCTCGGCTCACCCGTTGAGTGAAAGCCTGGCTTGAGTCTGTATGGGGGTGGCTGTTGAGAAGGTGGAGCTGCTGGTCAAAGTCACAAACGCAGACTGAGGGATCTATGGGAACAAGCAAAGCGGGACAATCCCTTCAAAAACTAGCCAAACTCATATGTCCTGCTCCATCGCTGACATACGGACCTGTGTAACGTACGGGGCCGGCAACACAGCATAGCTCATGTTCCCCGAGCCGTGGGCGGGGGCGAGGACAGTGCCTGGCGGCAGGCTGGTGAGGTTGGGCTGGATCTGTGGCAGATGTGTGGCTGGCATGATGAGACGCTGGGGCGTCTGACTCGTGGTCACCACCTGGGCTGCTGACGTCAAGGGTTTGGGTACAACCTGTGCACAAAAAGATGTTCAAGCATGTGTGAACGGTTTCTGATGAATTACAGATTATGAACGCCAAGCCATACAGCAAAAATACCAAAAGCTGCAAGATCATCCATAACAATGGTGTCACTGTTCAACTGTAAGCGTGTAGTGAACGAGGTGTTTCACTGTGTACCTGTTTGATGCTCTGTGCTGGGATGATGGGTACAGACATCCGTACTGCAGCATTCATCATTACAGGCTTGGCTTTGTAACAGCACAACAATAGATACGTTATTGGATTTTCTTTAATCACTTATGAGCCAATTCATTTTCAATCCTATCATTAATGTCATTCTAAAAATAGATCGCAATTAGTAGTAATATTCATTTTTTGGTGAACCATCCCTTTAAAGTCTTTTATTTTCTCATCCCTCACATGGGTTGACTGTGATATACCGACCTGGTTGGATGGAAGGGTTGGTGTTGGTGCTGCCGCCCGACTGTGCAGTGGTGCTGCCAGTGGTGGCCGTTACCAGTCGCACATAATGGAAGCGGCTGCCTGGCACCTGGATCTGCTGCACGTTGGGAGGTGTGGTGAGGGGGATGATGGTCTTAAACTGGGATGTTCCCACTCCTCCCACGGTCTTTAAAGTCTGTACACAGAAATCAGCATTAAATGTAGTCAACATGTACTGTTGCTATACAGAAAATTACACTAATTCATAGTTTTCAGTTTCTGGCTCAAAGGCCTGGCGGGCAAAACATCCATAGAAGTGCAGCACAAGCCCGTCAGTTTTCCATCTGTTTCCAATACACAAATATTTAGATCATCTCTCAAAAGGATAAAAGAAAGATGCGTGTACAAAATGCAAGTTTTGGCCATTTGCAGTACATATAAATCACCCGCCGAAATATTTCAGTTAAAAACTGTGAGACATGCTAAAATGTTTAATGTGAAAACACTTAAAGTACCTTTAAAACAGTAATATTAAAAGATCGAATTCAATACACATTTTTAATGATGTGTGCTTTTTTTGAGCTCGGAACATGAACGCAATGCGCTAAACGGTTAAGTGTTTTCTTTAAAACGGTTTTCTATGGGAAAACATTTAATGTGAAACTTTGCACATTGCGTTTATATTCTGGGTTCATCTGCTTGCCTGTGCAAAGTCTGCATCATCAAGGTGTATACTGAATTTGGCCTTTAAATATCACTGTCTTACTACATTACTACTTAATGCAAACCTCATAAAAATAACTGGCGGGCAGTGGAGGAAAGCCTTGTTTTGCCCTCCAAGTGGGCGTTCCTGTAAGGGTGTGACGTCACGTGAAAACTATGAATACAGGCTGTTATTACAGGATGGGGCAGTTAAAAATCTATATTAGACTGCATAGCAAACTGGTTTTAATTGGGCTTACCTGTGCGGTGGACTGGCTGGTTCCGGCTTTAGCTGGAGAGGTGGTGGCAGACTGTTGAACTGTGAGGATCTGCTGGCCCAGAGCCATGTTGAGCGGCAGTGTCACAGACTTCTGCGGTGAGTTTGGAGACTGACTGGCAACCGAAACCACAGTCAGCTACAGACAGGAGAAACACAAGGATGAGGGTGACATCAGAAACCAGAGTGTGGCCATCATTGAGAAAAAAATGGCATCACATAGACAGGTGAATGTGATTGCGATGCCAGTTTTTAGATTTAAAAGATTCAAGACCTTGCTGGGAGACTTGAGAGGCGAGATGGCGACTTTGCTGTTGCCAGATGCATTCTGTGGCACAGTGCTGACAGTCTCACCAATGGTGAGGGTGCGTGGAGGTGTCACAGGAGTACTCTGGGTAACAACTCGCCCTGTGGACAAAAGCAAGGAAGTCAAATTTAGATATCACAGCTGTGCTGTTAAAATAAAAATCACTCTCGCTCATGTTATATTTTATTAAGGCATACAGAAGAGTACCAGTCACTACAGGAGCCGCTGAAGCTGGGCTGGACAGTCCTTTATTGTTCAGGGCTTTTGTGATGATCAGCTTTGTTATCATCGGTCCAGCTGTAGATACTGGGGGCTTCTTAGTGATCTGTGAAGAGAAATGCTATACTTGGCAATTATTTCAGCTGTCCATGATAGACATTGAGCAGGAAATAAGATTGCACTTTAAGCTCATTAAATTAACTAATGCCATTTTGCCATAATAATGCATGCCATTTTTCCTTACAGAAAAAATGTATCTACAAAAATTTATATTATAAAACAATAACAATTAAATAAAATCAATGATTTTAAAAATACAGTTAAACATCTTTTTTTTTTAATAAATATGACTATAAATATATCATTAATAACATGAATTCATTTTATTAATAATAGCTCATTTTAGTTGTTATTATTAAAGGGATAGTTCACCCAAAAATGAAAATCACCCCATAATTTATTCACCCTCATGCCAACCTAGGTGCATATGACTTTCTTATTTCAGACGAATACAATCGGAGTTATATTAAAAAATGTCCTTGCTTTTCAAAGCTTTATAATGGGAGTGAATGGGTGCTATTTTTCAATAATCCAAAAGACGTAAAATAAAGTGCGTCCATCCATAATAAAAAAAAGTGCTCCACACAGCTTAATAAAGGCCTCCTGCAGCAGATCAATGCGTTTTCGTAAGAAAAATATCCATACTTAAAACTTTATAAACCGTAATCTCTTGCTTCCTAGAGTTAAAAGTAACGAAAGCAGAAGCACAGAGCAAAACAAAACACTGGTCACGAATTAGAAGAACAAAACGAGGATTTGTAAAGAAGAATGTCAGAGGATTTTGATATAAACCAAGAGGGGACTGGTTTTCCTTTGCTAAAGTGAGGAAACTTTGCTTCCTTTGCTCCTGTAAACAAACGTTGGTTCTCGCGAGACTAGCATATTCACGCCCGACCTTGCGCTATGCTATTTACGCATTATAAATAAAATAGTTCATTTTAAAAATACAGTAATAAAAGGCATTTTTCCTAATAGAAAAACATTTACAAATATGTCATTAATAATAATAGCTCATTTAAATGACACTATAAAAAAAATTAAAATATATATATTTGAAATATTATATTATAATGATAATGGCCCATTTTAATAATAAAGGTAAAATATGTGAAAATACATATTTAAAATGCATGAACACATGTTACACTGCACATCATAAACACAATCAAGCTTTCGAAAAAAGCTGATCAACCACCCTTTTAATGAAAGGTTGTTAACACCCACCTGAAGTGTTTTGAGCTGCTGAGCCTGCAGTGTGGTGGAGCTGCCCATCAGCTGACTGGCTGAGCTCACCGCTATCACAGGCTTCCCTACTGTCGTCACCATTTTGATCTGCGTCGGCAGGGCCTTGACATCTCCTGTGCCCTGGGTAGTGGCGGGCTTGTTCCAAGTGTGGGGCAGAGCCAACATAATGGGCTGCCCTGTTTTACTGAGGCCAGCAACCAAGAGTTTTTGGCCCTCTGGTTTGAGCACAGCAGTGCCTGGAGACTTGCCATCTGCAGCGGGGGCGCTGGCCACTTTGTTGATGATGAGCTGGTGATTGGCCGGGACTGTAACGCTGGAGATTTTGGGGAGGTTCTGAGTCACCACAGGACCGGTGGTTTTGGCTGAGGTGGTGGTGGTCATGGTGGTGCCGGTTATGAGGCCTGAGGGGGCGAGGAGGAGTTGAGTTCCCGAGCTGGTGCTGCACTGAGCATCGGTGGAGGCAGAGGTCAACTGCATAGACGTAGTGGCTGGACACAGGCTGACGATTTCAGGCACCTCTGTTTCCATAGGAACCTGCTGCGGCTCTGGTTCAGATTGGGGAGGAGCAGCGAGGTGCTCGGCGGGGAGTTCCTCTTCCATCGCAATGGCTTCCGTATCCATAATCTCATCAGGGAGGAGGCTGTTGAGCTCAGGTGAAACCACATCCATCGTGTACAAAGTTACTGAAGACACACTGTGGGGGAAAAACACTTCTTAAATGACAAGCTAGAGATGAGAATATATTACTGAAAAGCTACTAGAATTCATCCTTTGCTGATTTGCTGCTGAAGAAAGATTTCTTTTTATTATTATTAATGTTGAAAATAGTGCTACTTAATGTTTTTGTTGAAACAGTGATACATTTTTTCAGGATTCTTTGATAAATAGAAACAGCATTTATTTGAAATAGAAATTATTTGTAACAATTTAAAATGTCTCCTCCGCAGAATAAAATCATTCATTTCTTAACTTAACCTAAACTGATCAGTATTTTACTATTTCTAAAAATGAAAAGGGAAAACATGTACACACACACACATACATAAACATTTAAAAATATTTTTCCATCAAATTTTTATAATTACATTTTAGAGTAATATTTACAAAAATTTAATTTTAGAGTAATATTTTCCATCAAATATTTCCATGACATTAGCCTTGCAATAATGCTAATGACTTTTCTGGGTAGAGAAAACAAGTTAAATATTTAAATATACTCTCATATTACAGGGTTTGTGAACACCATGTTTTCCTTTTCAACATGTCTAGACAGCATTTATAAAAACTGAAAGGTACTGTAGTGAGAACAAGTGCAAGCTATTTTGTTAATATATATATATATATATATATATATATGTTTATATAGTTAGCAGTTTGGAGTGAAACTACTAGCCCAAGCCCTCATATCAAGCACAGCTGCATAATTATGTCACATAATCTGCTACAATCATACTGGCGGGCCATTCAAATTCCCCCATCTACTAAACGCTGCACACACCGCGAGCGACGCGACGCGCCCGGACCGCTCCCATTCATTCCAATCACTCTCCGCTGTTGACTGCGTCGCGTCGCGTCGCGTTCAGCTGTTTACGCTCAGCTGCTACGCGGCTAACTAGCACAGGAGCTAACCAGCAGTTAACACACAATTATATCTGAAGCGCAGCTATCACAGCTAACACGAACTAGCCGGGCAGTGCTTCAGAAACCGGACAGTTATGCGCGCTCAAGAAAAGGTGGCTTAAACAACGTTTAGTAGCTTAAACCTAACATTTTCACAGCAGCTGAAACAACAGCAGGCCTCTGTGGACATGCCTGACAACAACAATCCGCGTTTAATCCTTTACCTCAACGCTTAATTCACTGAAAGCGAACCAGACCCGTCTGTCAGTTTCACATCAGGCGGAGTTTGTTGATATTCGACGGGCCTGCTTTCCTGCCAATTCTGTTGCCATGGAAATATCTATATTTACAAAGCGCACATATGAGCTACTGCGGGCAGGGCCGCGCGCCTGCAGGACTTCTCCTTCACTGAAACAACACATGGTGATCTTAAAGAGTTATCATTCACTATCACTGCACGTGAATGGATGGAGACTGATTCTGTCAGCCAGAGAAGACAATGAAGCCACACACACAGGCTTTTGACCTACAAAATAAAAATAATAACAGCATTTTTCACTGCAATTGTCCCTTCACTGATATCCTTTCAATTAGAATCAACTGGCACAATCACGTCTATATCTAAAAAACACACAATATTGCAAAATAATGCATGTTAAAGAGTTTGACCCTCAAACGAAAGCCACGTAACTCTTATAGTTTGATGTCAACGAGATTAAAAAAATCTACACTAGGTTTAGAAAACTGAAATAAATGCAGTGATAATACTTCATATTTATAATTATTACCATTAGCTGAACCAGTGTATATTGTACAAACATAACACGTCATAAAATAAACAACCTGAGTGAAAAAGTCGAACTTGTACACGGTTTATAACCGAAATACTGCTTAATTAAAAACAACAACAACAACATAAGGGGAACACATCACTCTGCCACAAAATGATGTCTCTAATTTTACACACACACATACATATATATATATAGATATAAATGAGCCTCTCACAGGTTTTCCATGAAACTAATAATGCAGTGAACTGAAGATGATGCAGAATAAGCTGAGGTGAGACTGACAGGCGCGGAGGGCCAGCAGCTCACTGTCAGGTGGAGCCTCAGCTGCTAACCAGCTAGCCACTCCTAACTAACACTATTAAGCTCTGTCTGCCTGTGCTTAATTCATGATGCAGACATCAGCAGCGATCACAGCTGGGTGTGTGACAGACCTCAGCTGACACACACAGACACACACACTCACAGACACACACTCACAGACACACAGACACACACACACACACACACACACAGAGAGACACACAGAGACAGAGAGACACACACACACACACAGACACAGAGAGAGAGAGACACACACACACAGAGACACACACACAGACACACACACTCACAGACACACACTCACAGACACACAGACACACACACACACACACACACACAGAGAGACACACAGAGACAGAGAGACACACACACACACACAGACACAGAGAGAGAGAGACACACACACACAGAGACACACACACAGACACACACACTCACAGACACACACTCACAGACACACAGACACACACACACACACACACACACAGAGACAGAGACACACACACAGACACACACACTCACAGACACACACACACACAGACAGACACACAGAGACAGAGACACACACACACACAGACACACACACTCACAGACACACACACA